GCCCACACGTACATATACGCACGCGTTCCAGGGGTCGTGTATTCGAGTTCTTTTATTTGGCCCTGCGGGGGTAGCAGAGGGTTGAGTTGAGCGAGCGAAACGAGGGTGCGGTGGGCTGGGGGCGATGACATCGATTTTTTACCCGTTGCTAATCTCAATGTTACCTCCTCCTCCGCTACTCTCTACCTCCTCCTCCTCCTCCTCCTCTTCCTCTTCCTCTTCCTCTTTCCTCCTGCCGTTCGGCCACCTCCATCTACTACCCTTTTTTCACCCCTGCTGCACCACCACCCTCTTCTATATCCACCGCGACCCTCTTCCCTCTCTCTCTTTCTCTCTTTCTCTCTCCACCACTCCGTGTCTCTCTGCCCCTTGCTTCTCTCCTCCATTCTCTCTCTCTCACTTTTTTCCACCTCCTCCACCCCTCGGACCATCCGTTCTGCGGGAAAATGTGCATGTGCATCGGGCACATTCGAGAAGGAATAACCATTTTTTCGTACCGGACAACACTTGCGCCGCGCGTCACCCCGCCGCGCCGCGCGTAAATTCTCCTCGTCTCCCATTTCTCGTCGTCGTTCTCTCTACACCACCTCTCTTTCCACCCTTTCGATCCTACGCTTCTCGCTATGTGCACTCTCCGTCTCGGTCGGGCCTGCGTGTGTTTCCCCACCTCCTTTCCCCGTCTCTTGCCTGTTGTCCGACCGGTGGCTGGGGTCTCTTCCGTCTTTTTCTATCTGGATTTCTCTGGATGTCTTTGTCTATATCGGCGACTCTCTCTCTCTCTCTCTCTCTCTCTCTCTCTCTCTCTCTCTCGGTTTTTTCGTCGAGGCTTTTTTTCATCGCGCGTCCCCTTCTTCTCCGCCACCTCCCGGTCTCCGGACCCAGGCCGAAATCGAACTGACGTGGACGCGGCAGTTTTCCATCTTTCTGTCCCCCGTGGGAATAATGACATTTTTTTCGGATCGAAGCTTTAGATGCATGTCGCGTCCCTCCGACGTCCGTCAATGCCCTCGCGATCGGCGCCGACGCTGGTTAAGATCGCAGTGATTTTTTTTTGCAAACGGAGATTACAGCAACGGCGAGTCCTGTTCAAAAGATTTATTTTCCATTGGTCGGCTCTTCGAGGATTTAGTCGAAAAGAGGCGTGCAAAGACGACGAATTTCAATGTCATCGATCGAATTATTAAAACGACGAGGTATTGTCATTGAAATTGTGATTTGGAGATACGAGAAAATACGTGTAAAAGATGAGACGATCTTGTTGAAGGTAATAATATCGGAGTTACTTAGAAAATTAAAATTTTCAACGAAATAAGGATTTTTCCAACGATTCCTTTCGTAGGAAAAGGATTTCTACGCGTTGAGTGAAATTTAACTCAACCTTCACGCGTTGTGACATGAAACTCTTCACTGTTCAAACACCAATGCGTTTAATTGTAACGAAAAATCACTCAGGACACGAGTTAAACGTATGCGTCTATGTGTTCTCGATTGGAAATGTCGGTGTCTCGTCGGTTCGCGACGTTAAAACGCGAAACGTTTAGATGCGACGGTGGAGGAACGCAGTATAAAAGTGGTATTATCGCGGAATGAAGCATCGTTGTGCAAACAGAGTATTAATTTGTGCATCGGGTAACGTTGGTAAGCTTCGATGCAATTAGGCCGTTATATTAGCCAACTGTACAATAGATGTTCCAATTGTGTGTCGATCTCCGTAATGTTGATTACTGTACATATTTGATCGCATTCGTTGAATTATTGAAACTAATCTGTCGAAATCGCGTAATAGACGCGTATGCCCGATGTTGTTGTTTGTTAGCCGTGATTCGATATAGGTCTGTCAACTGTTTGCGGTTCGATAAGTGTTCGACGCTGTTTGCCCGCCTGTTCGAAATGCCTCCGGACCGATTTTAATCTGATTTTTATTCCAACGCTTTCGAGAGAGAGGGAGAAAAAGAAAATCCAAAATTCGAAACTTGCAAATTGTACGGCGGCGTGCGTGATTAATCGTGTAATATGGCGGACCGCCGTGTGGAAAATACTTGCGTTGTAAAATTGTAATCTTTTAGCTCTTGACCTGATATCGCTACATATCTCTCCGACGTGTAAAAGTTTCCACTAATATCTCCAAGTATCTTTAAATATGCGAGTTAATGTTATTACTAGATGTTTCTGAAGACCAGTTCATAAGAATAATAGATTCTTCCGAGTAGAAATTTTCCTCGTCCACTGAATATTACGACATTCATCTCGTTTAGAATATTTCACGCGTTTGCTCTAGCTACTCTAGTCACTTACTTATTTTGTACGTCTGTGAAGTTGTCCGTTGTCACGATACAGTAATTAACCCGGATTAAAATTCACCCTGTCAAGATCGAAAACCGAAGATCGAAAAGAAAAGAAACGAAAAGAAAAGAAAAGAAAAGAAAGAAAAAGAAAATTGGAGCAAAATTAATTTTCACGATTGGATTGTACTCAGAGATTTTCATTCATCGTTCGCGTATTATTTCGAGCACGCGTGTCCAAACGGAAGCGTTGCCTCGAAGCGTTCGCGAGGAGGACGCCCGGTGGCCCTGTTATTAAAATATTGGAAAAAGATACAAGGACAGGCTGGAAGGCAAGAGAGCAGCAATCGAGAGGGCGGAAATCAGCGGAATTACGCGGTAAATTCGACAGGCTGCGTTCCCGATATTTCAGCGTCGGAATGATTATGAAGCGTTTCAATATCGAAACGAGTTTTATGACGTGTTCCCGCCTCCCTATCATTTACCCTCCCCCCCCCCCCTCCCTCTGACGTGTTCGTTCCCTTTCTTTTGTTAGTCATTGTGAACGCGTCACGTGGCCGTCGGCGTAATCGCGAATCGATTTGATCGACGAGCATTAATGAGTGACTCTGGTTCCGCCTTCGGATGCGGCCAGGCTAGGTCCAGGACAAACCGGGCTCACGTGTCGAACGCTCGTCACGTGTCCAACCCGATCGCCGCAACGTTAACCCCGAATTTCATGACGTTTGCACGTTGTTTTCGCGAGACTCGTCGCCGCTTTTGCACCCGCTCTTCGATTTTTCAATTAATTCGTCCGTGTTATCGGGCACGCGCGCGTTCACCTATCGCAATATTAAACTCTATTATTTCTCCTTTCTTTCTTTCTTTCTTTTTTTTTTTTTTAGAAGGGTGGAGATCTGTTTGTTCTTTTTTTTTTTTCTTTTTCCTTTTCTTTCGTGGACCATTGGTAACGATAGCCAGTCGTGTTTAATTGCTATGACAAGAACCGCGGATGTTAAAATCTTGATAATTTAAAATTAGTATCTCTCTTATAAGAAAGGATCTGTTTGGAAAATTAGAATTATTTGGCTGCGCGTTTGACGTCGATCGGTTGAAATTTCGACGATCATATCTTGTCCATTATTTATCAATTCGCGGGATTGTTGGAATGGTTGGAACAAGAGTTTTAAGAGTTCGTGATATGTTCGCTGCAACGAAGCACCTCCTTTTCTATCTTTTGTTCTTTGACGAAGAAATTTGTGAGTGGATATTACATATTCGAGCGATTTAGATGGTTGTTAAAAATCGATATCTTCCTAAGAGTTTGCTGAAATTTATTTTATTGTATTTATTTTACTGTTGAAGTATGTTTGCAAAGCTGCATCGAAGCTGCAGACTGTTTTACACTGTATCATTAAATATATAAAATCCGACTCCGTAACGCTGTCGAAGCAAAGTTTGGAAAGTTAAGTACTTATTGGGAAGTGATAATCTCTTTCTGTGCTCGATAAAAGAGACGAGCGTGGTTAAGAAAGTTTCTATTCTTTGCGGCTCGAGTTCCTTGCACTCGTTTAAAGTAGTTTCTCCATTTTCCTTCATTTATAAGCGGTGCTGCTTAATTTATTAGCGTTCGATTCATCTTACTGTTAGAGCCGAGACGCTTGTAGAAACGTCTGCAATATTTACACCTGTCGTTTAATACTTCGAGTAATATCTCGACAATTAATATTTCTTCACGTCTATTTCTAGTTCTTCGTATTATCACGCGTAGAATAATCTTTCGGCGACGTGATAAAACCTACCTACGTCGACATCGATTTTGTCCGGAGTATGTATAAACTTTTTTTTTTTTGTAGCAGAGAACCTTTTTGTCTCGTATGTTCGATAATTTCAATGATACACGTTTGTATCAGCGTTGCTCGGTGTATTGTCGTTCGAATCTTTTACGAAGTGAACTGTTTACTTTAATTGTAGCCGGACTGAACATTCCGACACATTTTAGCCTGCCTGTTCAACGTACGGATTGAACGTTGAAAGGATCAAATGTACATTGCTGATCAGAAGTAGCGGATCATCCGCTTTAAATGTAGATTTGTATAGCACAGTGGTATGCGAGCCTCTCCAATTTGATTGAAATGGGTTTACTGGATTACGTTTTGATTCCAAACACATCCTTATTTCCCGAATTAAAATTTTGCGCCGGGATCTTTCGTCCCCGCAAGAAACAGACATTGCCCCAAATAACAAAGCAAACGAAATAATAACAATAATAGTGATAGGAACAATATTTTCGACGAAAGAGATGTCGGATGTGAAATATTTTCTGAATTTGCAATTTTTCGAGATACGTAAAAGTTAATCGTCGATTGATATAAAAACTTGCAGTGGAGAAATAGAAAAGAATACTTTCTGTTAGTGGCTTTATTAAATTCATCGCGAAAAATCTCTCAATAAGTTTTCAACGATTTTCACTTTATAATCATCCCTTGCTCCTCCACTGATCCTATAATCGAGATCACCACCGACGTTTCTCACGCACGCTAGATGCAAAAACATTCAATATAAAATTTCCAAAAGAAAAAAAAAAAGAAGGTATTAAGCTACCATTTATTTTAGGCTAACAGCTATTATCAATAAAAATTGAAAAGTTAGACGATTGATCGCGGCGTTTCCCATCTAGACGTTCCCCTTTTTCCCCTGACTGATGTTGCACTTTGTTTTTCTGTTCACATCTTGCAGACCGAGATCGCCAAGAGGTTGAACGCGATAATCGTCCAGCTACTGCCGTTCCTGGCACAAGAGGTGAGTCTTTGACTTTCTGTTTGGCACGTGTGCCGTACAATCTCACGATCGAGAGTGACAACGACGCGATAATGATAGCATGGCTTGCAGCATCAGCAGCAGGTGGCCAATGCCGTAGAGAGAGCGAAGCAAGTCACGATGTCCGAGCTGAACGCTATTATTGGGGTGAGCTTCTTCCTTACAATTGTTTCTATTAAAATTACACTCATACGTTTGGCAAGCGGCGGGACATTGATCTTGGCACAGTGTGCGTGTTGCATCTCGATCTCTGCTTGCGCGTTTTCCAATTCTTCGTTTCTCGATTGTTTCATCTTCGCGTAACATGAATCGAATAATCGTCGATTAATTTCAATTTATGTTGTGATCTCGTTTTCCAGCAACAGCAACAACAGGGCTTGCAGCAACTATTGGTGAGTTGATCTTTCCTATCTTTCTCTGATCGTTGTGTTCCGTTGCATCTTGTTGCATGTGCGTTTCAAAAAGTGACGTAACTCGTACGAACTTTGTGGTTAACTATGTACCTACGTAATGTTGAATGTTTTAACAAAAAAAAAAAAAGAAAAAAAGACAGGTTTCTAAGAAACTGATGGTCGAATAGCATTTTGAATGCTGAATCATTTCGAGTCGTGACGTTTCTGAATTACACGCGGGATACGGTGGTTTATTTTTCAACCCTTATGTCGGTCAGCGAGATTTTTACGCTCGTTCGGCGACACACCCTTAGCTTCTTCTTTCAAATATAAAACGTGATAGTTTTCCCAATTAAAATTCTACGAACTTTGTCATTTGACAGGGGAATTGACAGTTCATTGATTCGCGAGTTATTCGATTCCAAAAATTTTCGAGTTCCGTTTCAAACATTCTCTCGTAAATACCGTTAATCGTTGCCAGACAATTATGTTACCCGATAGACTATAATACCAAAGTCAATTACCTGTCTCTCGTACGTAACTCGACTTTTCGATTTTTTTAATCTTCGAAGATGCTCAAAGTATCTATATATCCACTAATAAAAGATTTGACTATTCTTTATCTCACCTAAAAGATACCAAGCAACGTAAAAACCTTATCGCGCACAATTTTACTTTCAAGAACGTAAAAATATCCAAAGGATAGGCATTGAAAATGGTTCAGCGATGTGTCGGGAAGCAGCACACAAAAAATTGACAAAGGAAAAGCAGAAATCGGTATACTGAGTCAGTTTCCAACGCGAGGACTTGGAAAAGGCAAAATTTTGAACAAACGTGGGGGAAGGAACGATCCACGATGGAAATTTCAGTGTTTCTCAGAGTCTAAATCGGAACTTCTTAATTTATACCGTGGCAATTCGAAATTAGGTTAACTCGTTTGAAGAGGGTCGCGGCCACTTGGGCAAGCGTGAATGCACAATCATTAAAACATTTATTTCACGCTGATCCGTGTTTCTTATTTTGTAAATTGGGTCGCTGCTTTATGCATATTTATTCAAACCGGCAACGAAGCCTGTGTTATATACGTACATTCCGCCAGTCATTTTTAAAGGGGCATTTGAAAATTTCTCAGTGTTGGAGAAGAATATCCCGTGCTTTCACTTAAATAAAACGTATCCCCATTTTTTGACGAATGTCGCGATAATGTTTTTCCATTAATACAGGTTATTCTCCGCCGATGCTAACGACTGTTCTACGTTTTTAGACCGATTTTTTTAGGTCGATTCGTTGATTGACGTCTGGATTATGAATTTTTTAGAATCACCTGACTAATTTCCATTAGCGTCGTCAGTGTAATTTTACGAATTCGATATAAGTGTTGCAGTTTTTAGTCTGCTTATTCGGGAACAAAATGTTGAATTTTAAAAATTAGGCACGTGTCATCCAGCGTGAAAGTTCAGAATCTAAAGACAAACGTAGCTCTGAAAGTGTATTCTAAAACTTGAAAAGAAGTCGTAGACATCAACTAGTTTTTGGTAGATAAAAAGATAAAAGAAAAGTGTTTTAATTTAACATGACGTCAGAGGCGCAGGTTTCCTTCAAACTTCGCTACCAATCCTTTCTTCTATTCCAATTTGATTTCCATTTGAACACAAATTATTCTTGAAGAGTAGATTTGAATGATAATTTTCACATCCGGTTTGGTGCATTCGGTACGAACAGAACGCAATAGTATTTACGTGTCGGTGTGTTCAGCACACAGAATCGGATGAGACATTGATACCAAGGTATCCATTCTGATACGTTCCTATTTAGTAGCACAGCTGTAGTTGAATACAAATACACGGTCTCTAGCATGAGTGTCTCGTCCAATCCTGACGAGGCTAGTTTCAATGGTCAGACGCCGGTATACAAATGTTATTGGACATAGTTTACACCTGGGAGCTTAACATCCCATTGAAATTGCCTGGTAACGAAATCACCGACGGGGTTCTATTTTATATCAGTTCGATAAATTCCAGCACAGTTCGCAAATTGATTTTTTCGCAAGCTCACGTTGCTTAACAGTGTTATTTCACTGCGAGAAAAAGTATTGCAGACCTCCCTTTCGAATAAAAAGAAACATTCCAAAAAAAAAAAAAAAAAAAAAAAAAGAAAAAAAGAGAGAAGTTCCTGAAAAAACTACGTAATTGTGGAACTTTCTGTTAAGCGTTAGAAGCAATAGAGTACCACGTTCCTGTTTTCCTGTACTCGAAATCACGCGGAGAAAAACCACGAACATGCTTCGTTAGGATAAAATCTCGATAAAATCTCCGTAACAGTTACAAAGATTCCCTGAACTAAAAGACACGTTGTTAATTGTTGTTTCATTATTGTCAAGTTAAGTTGTAGTGCATGTTTCGTGATTTAATCGGATGCACGTTAAATACATATGTGTGGTAGACGCATGCAACAAGATTGTTGAATGCTTCGCTCAGTCGAAAATCTGACGCGCGCAATTGACATGTCGGCTGTAGGAAAAATCACAAAAATTGCAAACAAAAGCCACATTGTCCATTATATATATATATATATTAACACAAAGATAAAGGAGTTTCTTTAACTACTTGCGCTGGCAACTGACGGACCATAACGAGTGACCAAACCCGTACACAGTAATTCGTCGCTTTCTTTTCGAATTCGTCGATACGACATCACTGGACAGAAGTTATTGAGAAAATGTACTGAGAAATTGAAAAAATATTGCAAAAAATATTACTTTGGGACAAAGACATTCCATAACGCGCGTGACACGCCATTCCAGCGCAAGAGGTTAAATCGTCAGACGCTTGCGCGTTGGCACACGCGCATGCGCGAAAGCTTGCGCATGGAAAAACCACGGCAATCGCGCCGGAAACTCCGTTGCTCCGTTTTAGCGTCTGACGCTCATGGAAAATCCTAGGTAAAAAAAA